TTCCTTCCACAAAGCATCTACAACCAAATACACACACACACACACACACACACACACACACGCACACGCACGCACACGCACGCGCGCGCAAGTCAGACATGTCTCTTTTCCACAAGCCTCTGAAATTTCAACTACTCTGAAACAGTTCATTAAATGGCCAGTAGAGGGCATGTTCTCCCCATTTTTTTGGAGTGGAAATGGCTCTCCCTGGCACTGTGCCTGACAAGGGTCTAGCTGCCAGATTTTTAGTGCTTAGGAAAAGGCAGATGTTCTTGTAGGTTATGAGGCACTAATGTAATGCAGAGTGACTTCAGGGACACAAAAAAGGACACTAGCCTCATTCAGTTTCTTACTGGACAATTGAAGCTATCATCTTTATTCATGTAGCCTAAACCAGTTTACAATGCAAACACAGTCAAGGTGACATTTGAGGCTGTTACGGGTCCTCCATAACTCGTCAGATGGACGTTGAGGAAAGGTTTTGAAGAGCGACGTGAAGGTGAGGGCTGGGGTGAGCAGAGGCATAAGAGGCAAAAAAACAATGAACCTGGGGGCCTCCTGGCATTCCAGTCCTCTGCTCAGTAGAAGAGAAAAGCCCTGCCTGTGCCAACCAGAGCAGCCTGTGTGTCTGCTGGGCAGGAGGGGAACCCCCCTGTCCTCCCTGGGCTACCATCTCATCTTGCACATGAACAAACACTGATCAAGTGCTGTGGACTAGAATGATTTGTTTTCTTCTCTTTCAGCATCTGAGAGAGGGACACTATTTTTATATCCTCTCCAAGGACAGCTTTTAAAACCCCACACTCTGGATTATGCAATGGAAAATTCTGTCCACCAATAAATCTGGTCCTAGCTGTCATGACCCAGAGCTTATTTGTCTCAGTTTGGGTGAGAATGGATTTTGAAGAATTCAGGATTTTTCACTGTACAGAAATCCCTCTCTTATATTAGACTCAATTTTATGTGGTATAAAAATTCACTGTGCCAATTCCTTTGCAACTACCCTTTCTCTTCTCCTTGGCTTCACTAATAAAACTACCCCTAATTTTTCTGCTTTCTGTCCAATGGATTCCTTCTCTGTCTCCAGTAGCTCTTTATATTTCCTGTCTCCTCATTAGAGTCCTTTGATCCTTAACCCTCCCTTGCTCTTCCCTCTCACTTTTTTCCCACAGGCCAATCCATCCAGACAACGGCCAGTCTCCTCTCTCAACGTGTGGTTATCCAAGTGTAAAAGACCACTCATGATTGCAATGTGCTTTTGATGTACTAATTCTTCTGTCATTACATATTGACCTTTCTGTCCCTTGATGCAGTTTTTTTTTTGGATATTTTTATTTATTTTTTATTTTTTTATGTGGTGCTGGGGAATGAACCCAGTGCCTCACACATACTAGGCAAGCACTCTATCCACTGAGCCACAACCCCAGTCCCCCTCCCCCAGCTTGATGCAATTTTTGACTTAAAAGTCTGCTTTTCTGTTTTCCATTCACACGATTTTTTCCCCCATTCCTTCCTTTTCAGTATGTGTATTCCTAAAGCCGAAGTGATTCTCCTATAGGGGCAGATAGTTATTATTTTTTAATCCATTCATTCATTCTGTGCCTTTTGATTGGAAAATGCAATCAGTTTACATTCAAAGTAATTACTTAGGGGCCAACACTTACTATTGCCAATTTGTTCATTGTTTTCTGGTATTTTGTAGATCCATTGTTACTTCCCTCTTTCCTAACTGCCTTTTTTTTTTTTTTAAATCTGATAATCTTCTTTAGTAGTATGCTTTGATTCCCTTCTTTTTACCTGTTTTATATCTACTATAGATTTTTGCTTTGTGGCCATCATGAGGTTTGAATAGAACATCTTACTGTTAAAACATTCTATACACCACCGAGACATTATTAAGATATTCTGAACTAGACTCTATGTTCACCTTTACCAGTGAGTTTTATGTTTTCATGTGAGGGATTAGTTAGCATGCTTTTGTTTCAGCTTGAAGAATTCTCTTCAAGTTGAACTCCCTCAACTTTTACTTGGGATTTTCTTTCTTTCTTCTTTTAATTTCTCATTTATGAAGGATAGCTTTTCTGGGTGAAGTATTTTTTTTTAATTATTTTTGTAGTTGTTTCATTTTTATGTGGTGCTAAGGACCAAACCCAGTGCTTCACTCACACATGCTAGGCAAGTGCTCTGCCACTGAGCGACAGCCCTTCAGCTTCAATACAGATGAAGTATTCTTAGTGAGCAGTTTTTGTTTGTTTTGTTTTTGTTTTTTTACTTTTCACATTTTCAAAGAACATTCCATTCTCTTGGCCTGCAAGGCTTCTGCTGAGAAATCTAACAGCCTCTGGAAGTTCCTTTGTCTGTGATAAGCCTCTTTTACTGTTTTTGAAATTCTTTTTAAAAGTTTGGGTACAATATGTCTTGGCAAAGTCTTATTTGGGTTGAACCTGATTTCGGACCTTTAAGCTTCACATAGTTGGATGTCCATAACTCTTTCACACTTGGAAAAATTCCAGACTTTTTTTCTTTAAATAATTAGCTTTCTGACCACTTTTCTTTCTCCACTCCTTTATAATTCCCCAAAAGAAAGAAAGAAAGAAAAAAAAGTCACCTTTTTGAAGATGTTACATGAATCCTGTAGCTTCTTGTCATTTCTTTTCATATTTTTTGCTCTCTTTCTGCCTGGTCGAATCTGATGTTGACACTCATATGACATTTTTCCTTTCCTCTATTGTATTCATCAGTTGCAAAATTCTATTCTTTTTAATGATTTCTATCTGTGAAACATCTTGTTTTACTTATTCCATTTTAGACTTGAGTTGCATGTCTCCTCATGTAGCTTTGCTGAGTTTCCTTAAACAATTATTTTTCCCTGGGTTTAATCCCTAGTACCCCTAAATATATAAATACAACCATTTTTAATTCCCAGTCAGGCAATTTTATAATCTTAATTTCTTTAGTTTGTTACTGAAATATTGTGTTCTTTTGTGATATCTGTTTCCCTGATTTGGGGAAGTCTTAGTTGCTGTCTCTGCGTTTGAAGAGGTAATCACTCCTTCAGTCTTTACTATCTTGGGAGAGAAATGCCTTTACCAATCAGCCTGACTAGGGATTCTGTGACTCTTTCAGACATTTGCTAGGGATTTGCCTGCTCTACACCTATTCTCAAGATTGTACGTCTTCCCTTAATCCTGCAAAGCCAGGCGAGGTGCTCAGAATTTCCTGTTTGTTTTCCCTAGGGTGGCTCCTTAAAAATTTCAAGTGCCTTCTTCTCCCAATGCTGCAGAGCCGAGCCACGACCTGCAGAAGATATCTGCAGTCACTATTTATAGGGGTATGTTCAGGGAGCCGGCCTTGGGAGAATAGAGGGTGAGATGTACACAGTATTTGGGGCGACCCTAGTCTACATGGCAGGAGGGTGGTCCAAAGCGAAGCCTCCCAAGTGGTTTGTGTGTATAGTGATTAATGTGCAGAGTGGTTAATGTGTTCCATGGCCTTTCTTCTTTGAGTCTGGCTTTTCCCAACACTGGGCCATATTAATCACCTCAGTCTTCTGGTTGGGACAAGAAATAATTAGCCCTCTTGGAAAGCATCCCATACAGCTGGGGGAAACAAGTGTTCATGCTTTCATTTTCCTGAGAGAAATCCCAGAGTGACAGTTTCTCTTGGCACTGAGTTGTGCCACTTAGAGGATGTGGTCCTGTGGCTAACGTGAAATTGTTCTTCTTACTTTCTTCAATGCATCTATTCTCAGATCTTTTGCTCAAACTCTGTGTTAAATCTCTACACTGAACTTTTGGATACCCACAAATTTACTCCTGTCCATGGGTAGTTATTGAAATCAATGCTTTTGCAGGAGGATGACAATAGAAAGTTCCTCTTCTGCCATCTTGCTGACCTCATTTTCTGAAGTTATTTGTAAATGAATAAAATCTGTTGGTTTGTTTTAGTCCTGAACTTGGAGGATTTTGTTTCCTCGTGTTCCATAAACTACCTCTTTCCCTCCTCAGTCCACCCTGAAATCTTATAATCTCTTTCCACTCCTTGTGAATAACTTAGCACCAGAACTTTTTTTCTAAAAAGGCAAACAACATGAACATTAAAAAAATAAATTTATTATGAGTCTGAAATAATGAAGAATAAGCAAACAGATAAACTGTACAAAGAGCAAAAATTAGAACATGAATAATGACATAAAACACAGGCATTCTTCTAGCTATTGCACACAAACATATTTTTACACGCAAATATATTTTCAAAAACATTTCTCCAACATTCTGAAAAGGCAAAAGCTATATTTGCAATATCTATAAACACCACAGCTTTTGAAACCATCAGTTTTTTCCTAAAATCATTTGAGTGAAATTTATACAGATGATGATCACCTATTTCATTAGGCAAAATTATAACATTCTCGTTTGACACGTCTTAGAAATTTTCACTCAAAACACAGAAAAACTATCAATTCATTGTGGATTCTATCACATCTTTTTTTGCCCCTTTTCTAAACAAGGAAAAAACATACAACACATATGTATACACTTTTCAGAAAGAAAGTATTCCAACTTTTATCAATAATTTGTTCAAAACCTCAGAACTCAGTAAATTTATTTTAAATACAGACAATTTCAAAATAGAAACAATCATTTGGGAGTGGGTATCCTAAAATAGTTTTGGCAATTTTAACCTATGATGTAAATATCAAAAGGAGCTACTGATCAGGAATATTCTGCCTGACCTACTGCAGACTGACTAAAGAGGCTAAAAAGAGATTTGAAAGTATCTTGTTTCCACCAACAATCATCAAAGACATTTTTCTCTGGTTAGACCTGTTTTACTCCACGATGAATGATATTTAATATTTAAAAAAGATCTTTGAAATCAAAGTGAGGGCTGGGGATGTGGCTCAATCGGTAACGCACTCATCTGGCATGTGCGGGTGCTGGGTTTGATCCTCAGCACCACATGAAAATAAAAAAAATAAAAATAAAGATTTTTGTGTCCACTGAAAACTGAAAAATAAATATTAAAAAATTCTCTCTCTCTCTCTCTCCTCTCTCTCTTAAAAAAAAAAAAAAGAAAAAAGAAAAAAATCAAATTGAACACATTCATTTCATGGATCAGGAAAATGCCACCCAGAGATGTTAAGCAACTTGTCCAGAGTGACAATGACAAACAGAAGCAGATCTGGGACACAGAACCAGAGTTTTTGATTCTTAGCTATGTTGTTTTGATAACACATTCTCTCAGGTCAGATTCCACACAATTCATAGTCATTTGATTACAGAGAACATAAACCAATGCATATATTTCACTTAAATCAAAACTGTTATTACTTCAAGCCTATTCATCACATGATCAGCTTTTTTTGTGTATATGGGCATAATGTAAAAATTATGGTTGATAAATGGCATTACTGTAAAGACAGTCCCTATAAGCTTGAGTCAGGACATCAACAACATTTAAACTCTCACTGTAAACAAAACACAGTGGTAGGCACTGTGGAAACACATTTGGTCCTATTCTCCTTACCCTGAGCTTGTAAAAGAGCAGACTGTTTCAACAGAGTGATGACTACCCACACTCTGTGATGGAGAAAAGAATCCGCTCCCTCAGCACATCAATGGAATGTGTGCCTGGGCACAGTATTCCTCAAAGGAGAATGATCACAAAAATGACACTGAAAAATTAGAGCTGTTAGCATCTAAGAGGTCTCCACGACACGGGGATACCCGGGCTATCTGAAGTTATTATAGATTTCCTTATCTTAGGAATCTTCAAGGCAAAAATATAGGATGTGATACAAGAAATCATGAGATAACCAGTAACACATATGATAAAATTTTCTTGCTAGAAAGTTATATATTGAAAATAAGAAGAGAGTAAAAAAGGACACTGGGTATAAAACTACTCTGTTTCAAGGGATACTAAAAAATATAGTGTCAGCATTTACTCATGATAAGAAGGCAGCACAGAAAAGAACTCAATGTGCCTGTGTCTGAACTCCTTAGCTTAATTAGAGCATGATTCTTAGACCAAGGTTATGGTAGCATCTGCACAGGGAACAGTTTTTATGGTCATTGACAGTTACTGTTACAACACACTTTGTAACAATATAAGAAATGGGAAGAGATCTTAGCAGTCTTCTGGATGCCAGATCCCAATACTGTCCTTCAGTGGGTTAGGAGCATCATGTTGGTATATTGCATTCACTGTGGTGGCCCGGATAGCTGGTCAGCACAGTAGAAAGGTAGCTAGTTAGGAACAGATTGTGTATTTGGTCCCACTGAATATTTTTTATATAAACTATATGTACATTTATATGCATTACAAGGACAAGACTCCCATATTATCATTTTAGAAAGTCTTTTAAGCTTCCATGTTTTACAAGAAAAACACTTTTGAAAGAATAAATGTCAAGAAGTTTACTTTCAGGCATGATGTATGACTGAAAATGGACATTAGTTAGGTAAATGGTAGTGTTAAACATGATGCAGAGCAAAAACATTTTAAGCAAAATATTACTTAAATTAACCAGCAAAACAACAACCATTTGTTCACAGTTCATACAGTAATTTTCAAGTAAATATCCATTTCCACCACTAATAAACCCAGCTTTACTGTCCATGTATCTTTCCAAAGATCATCAGGCTGTATCCCAATTTCTGAGGGACAGTAACTTTTTCTTTCAACTTCAAATTGATGATTCTGGCTGGTTGGATAATATAACCGTTTTTGGTTTTTGATCTACGGGACTATCAACTGGCACCTGTAAATAGAATCAGAATATAAAAAATGTATAGCACCTGGCATATGCTATTTCAGCAGATCAACAGTTGATTGTCTAAATAAAAATAGTTTCACACTTATTCTCTGTACACTCTTCTCTATAGTATAATCATAATGAATATTACTTACAGCTTTAATTTCAACATTCGTGATTCCTATATTTATATTGTGTCTTCTCAGATCAGACTTGATTAATGCTGAAACAGAGGACCATCAATGGAGTTACAACAAGTTTTTTGTGGATATATTTTTCTTCAAGCAACACAGTCTTTTGGGGCATTATCAAAAAATTTAATACCTTAATTAATTATCAAAATATTTAGCACAATATTAATGCCATAATAGTCAATAAAATCCTTGTATCCTGACAAAACAGCTAAGACTTTAGCTTATTTAATAAGTCATTCATTAGTGAATAAAATATGGGATTTGAGGAACAAAAGATAAAAAGAACTTTCATTTTCCTAAAGGATTCTCTGAACTAAGGAAATATTGACATGTACATAACCATAACATTGCATGACTACTGTGATGTCGCAGAAATAAACAAGGGAGAGGGAAAGCCCAGGAGAAAATGTTCCCACGTCAGTCCCAGGAAACCAGAAGGCCTGCCAGAGGAGACACCCTTGAATTACATCTTGAAAAATCAGCAGGAACTTGTCAAGTACACAAGGGGGAGAGGAAGGCATAAAAGCAACATAAATAAAGGGAGCAGGGTAGGAAGAGCACAGCCTATTCTGGACACCACAGGTAGTTTGGGATCACTGGGAAATCAAGCACAAGAGGGAGTGGGAGGATATGATAGGTGTCAGGTACACCGTGTGAAGAGCCCACATTGCATCTGAGCAGGGCAGTGGCACCACCAGACCTGTGCATTAGGGAGCACAACCGGACAGCAACAAGGAGGCTGTTATAATCAGCAACAAGATAAGAGGCAGGAAGCCGGCCAAGAGGTTAGCCAGCCAAGAGGCAGTAACTGCCTCAATGGAAAGAATGATAATATTAGGGATAGGTTAAAGAGACATTTTAGAAAAGAACAAGTAAGGGACTGGAGTTGTGGCTCAGTGGTAGAGCACTTGCCTAGCATGCATGAGGCACTGGGTTCAATCCCCAGCACCACATAAAAAGAACTAACAAAACAAAATAAAGATATTGTAAAAGAGAAAGAAAAGAACAAGTAAGATATTTTTTAAGATATAAAAAATGGTGGTAAGGTGGGGGATTGAGTGACTTCAGAGTTTTCCTGCTTCTGTTATTAAATGGATGGCAGCTGTAGTTATGGAAATTGAAAAATAAAAGAATCGGTGTGATAGGAAGAAGGTAAATTCAGTTCTGGGAAAGTTGAGCAGAAGACGTCCATGGTACGTCGAGGTCAGACGATGTGATTGGATGTGTTGACCTAAAATACAACAGTGGTCAGGGAGTGAAGATGCAGATTTGTAAGTTACTAGTGTTACAGTGGTAGTAAAAGCCATGGACTAATCAAAAAGAATGTAAAATAAGAAAAAAGATAAAAGTATGTGATAGTTCAGTAATTTCACTAGTCAAAGTAGAAATAAAAGATGAAGGTAAGATTATTTTATTTTCAGTGCTCTAAAAGTTAGCCCAATGCTTCCATTGATATCTTTCTGCATCAATTTACTTTTCATCTGTGTCTTCGTATTAAAAATGGATTTGCCAGGCACAGTTGGTACATGCCTGTAAAAAATTCAAAATTCATGCAAAATCATCTCCACTTTAAGTACATGTATGAAGACACAACTTTACTTTGTGTACAACCAGAGATATGAAAAACTGTGCTCTATATGTGTAATATGAATTATAATTCATTCTGCTATCATATATAACAAATTAAAGTTAAATATACACACACACACATATAAAATTACCTCCATTAGTTGAAATACATGTTTAAATGTTGTAAACCACAGTTGCCCTACTGTACTATGGAGCATTAGACAGAACTCTTCCGGTCCAGGTACACCCTGCACCTGTTAACCTCCTCCACCTACTTCAGCCCTCACAGCATCCATTATTCTATTTTGAGGGGGAGTACTGGGGATTGAATCCAGGGGCACTGGGACACATCCCAGCCCTTTTTTTTGTATTTTATCTAGAGACAGGGTCTCACTGAGTTGATTAGTACCTTGCTTTTGCTGAGGCTGGCTTTGAACTTGTGATCCTCCTGCCTCAGCCTCTCAATCTACTACTAATGAGATCAACTTTTTTAACTTCCACACGTGAGAGAACATGAGCTATCTGTCTCTCTGTGCCTGACTTACTTCACTTAAAAATGTCCTCCAGTTCCCTCCATATTGCCACAAAAGGATTTCATTCTTTTTATTACTGAATAATATCCCACGTGGTATATCTGCCATATTTTCTTTATCTACTCATCTACGGTGGAGACCTAGGTTGATTCCATATCATGGGTACTGTGAATAGTGCTGTAATAAACCTACAGGTATTTTTTTTTTTTTATGCACTGGCTTCCTTTCCTTTGGATATATACTCTGAAGCAGAACTGCTGAACAACATAGTAGTTCTGTTTCTATTATTTTGAGGAATACTGTTTTCCATAATTTAATTCTCACCAACAATGCATGAGGGTTCTCTTTTCTCCATATCCTTGTCCACATTATTTATTTATTTATTTATTTATTTTTTGGCCATTATGATAAAAGCCATTCAACTGGGGTGAGATGGCCTATCATTACGGTACTAACTCACATTTCCCTGCTGACCAGTGCTGGGCATTTTTTCCATACACTTGGCCATTTATATATCTTCTTTTGAGACATGTCTATTCTAATCATTTACCCATTTAAAAACTGGATTGTTATTGTGCAGTTGAATTTAGTTCCTTCTGCCCATTAATCCCTTGTCAGATCAACAGTGTGTAAATATCTTCCCCCATTCTGTAAGCACTGCTGGACAGGAAGCCTTTTAGTTGATGTGATCCCACCTGTCAATTCTTTTTGCTGCCTGTGTTTTTGGGGTCATATCCAAAGAATCTTTGCCCAGACTAATGTCATAAAGTGTTTCCTTCTTATAGTTTCATATTTTGGGGTCTTAAATTTAAGACTTCAATCCACCTTTTGTTGATTTTTGTATATGGTGAGAGGATTCTACTGTCATCCTTCTGGATATGGACATTGTGTTTTCTCAACATTTATTGAAGAGACTTTCTTTTCTCCACTGTATGTTCCTACTCCCTTTGTTGAAATTCAGTTAGCTATAGATCACAGAATTACTTCTAGGTTCTCTATTCTGTTCCATGGTTTACGTGTCTATTTTTATGCCAGTACCCTGCTTAGTTTTCATGGCTTTGTACAATGGTTTGAAGTCAGGTCTCCAGTTTTGCTCTTTTTGTTCAGTGTTGCCTTGGCTATTTAGGGTTCCATATGAATTTCAGAAGCATTTTTTTTCCTTCCACATTTCTGGGAAGAATATTATTGGCAGTTTGATAGGCTGCATTAAATTAATAGATTTTTTGGATAGTATAAACATTTTAACTTAATAATGTGAATTCTTCCAATCCGTGAACATCTTTGGGTTGTCTAATTGAACTTCCTTTGAGTTTCATGGATCTGGATGTCCATCTCTTTCCTAAGACTTAGTAAGTTTTTAGCAATTATTTTGTTAAATATGCTTCCTCGGCCCCTCTCCATTTCTCCAACCTCTGGCACTCCCATAATGGGGACATTTATTCACTTAACGGTAACCTATCAGTCCTGTGGGCTTTCCTTGCCCTTTTTCATTCTTTTTGTTTTTCTGAATGAGTTAGTTTTAAAGGTCTAGCTTCACGTCTGGAAATTCCTTCTTCTGATTCATTTAGCCTATCAACTATATTTATTATTTCATCCATTGAATTATTTGGCTACAAGATTTCTGTTTAGTTCTTTTTTACAGTATCTTTTTTGGTGAATTTCTCCTTCTATGAATGGTTTTCCTTATTTTATTGAACTGTTAGTTTGTATTCTCCCATTTCTCGCTCAGCTTCCTTCAGACCATTATTTTGAATTCCTTTTCAGACATTTTCATAAATTTCCTTGTCTTTGGGGTCTATTTACAAGAGAACTACTGTGCACCCCTGAGGGTTTCAGGTTTCCTTGCTTCTCCGTGTTTCTTGTGTCCCTGTGTTTATATCTGTGCAACTAGAGCCACAGTTGCTGCCTCCAACTTTGTGGAATCGTGTTGTTGTTAGGGAGAGGCTTTTTCGTGTGGTGGATGCTATGGTTTCAATCGGGTATGTGTCAGCTTTGATTCTGGGCAGATTCAGTAGTGTTCTCTGTGCAGTTTCTTCAGCTGTATTCCTTGTCAGCCATGTCTGTGGTTCTGTATTGTGGCCGAGGCTGCAGGTGCTTATACTGTGGTAGTGTGGCAAAGTGCTGCGGCAGTGTGGTCTGGATGGTATCTGATCTTCAGTGGTTGGGCTGCCATCTGCCTGGTTGCTGGGCTGGGCATAAGTGCAGGCAGATGCAGGAGGATACAGGCTTTGTGTTGGCTTTTTCTGTGCTAGTCTGTCTGTTCCCTGGGGGATGGGGCACTGCATGGGTTTAGGTGTCTGGGTCTTGGCACCGCTGTTGCCATGATGACCCCACAGTGCCAGCCTGGTGAAATGACAGAGGAGTCTCAAGAACGGAGGTGTGCTATGGCGACTCACCCTCAGGGTGGGATGCACTCTAGCAGTGGGTCCAGGTTCAAGATGGTGCCAAGTTGTAGCAGGGTGGATCACGGGGTTGGAAGGTGTACAACACTGGCTGTAACCGTGTGGCAAGACAGCCACGTGAACTATGGCAACTCTAAACTCTGTTCAGAGTCTGTGAGGTCCGAAGGAGTCATCTGCAGGAACAATGGGGACCTATAAGGTTCTCGAGCTTATCTTTTCCCAATAAAGGTAAGTCCGTCCTGGCTCCAAGTCCATCTGGGCAGATAAGACAGGGTAAGAGAGGCAGGAGGCCGCGCTGTCCTCTTTCTCCCACTCCACAGTGACCCTCCACTGTGCTGCCACTTCGGTGCACTTCCTGAATCACTCCTGTTGGAGTACAGCTGTTTATTATTTGCCATGGTCCTTATTTGTGAAGGGGATAAGTGATAGGCTACTCTACTTGCTAACAGGGTGACAGAGATTTAAACACAGAAACATGGAAAAGTAAGGAAACGTGAAACCCTCAAGGATGCTTAATATTCTCTAGTAATAAACCTCAAAGAAAATGTAATTCATCAAGTATCTGAAAAGGAATTCAAAAGAACGATCTGAAGGAAGCTCGGAGAGAGACAAGAGAATACAAACAATTCAATAAAATCAGGAAAACAATTCATAACCTCAAGGAGGAAGTCAATAAAAGATCTATTTTGGTCTTTCTGCTTTTCGGTTTTGAAGGTGTGTACTGACATATTCTCAAATCCAGAAATTCTTTCTTTTGCTGTATCCAGTCTATGATAACCCCAGAGACATTCTTCACTCCGTCACCATGTTTTCAGTCTCTAGCATATTTTGGTTTCTTAGAATGTCCTCCTTTGCGTTTATAATGCTCACCTGTTCTTGCACGCTGTCGACTTCACCCACTGTGGTCTGTGGCATATTACTCACATGTTTTAACCTCCCACTCTGATTAATTCCACATCCACACTGTATTTGAGTATGGCAATACTTGCTCTGTTTCTTCAAGTTGCTTTTTTTTGGTAGGCGGGTAGCGGGGATCAAACTCAGGGTCACTCGACCACTGAGCCACATCGCCAGCCCTATTTTGTATTTTATTTAGAGACAGGGACTCACTGAGTTGCTTAGTGCCTTGTCATTGCTGAGGAGGGCTTTGAACCTCAATTCTCCTACCTCAGCCTCCCGAGCCACTGGGATTATAGGCATGCACCACTGCACACGGCTTCAAGTTGCTTTTTGCCTTGGAGTGCCTTTTGATTTTTTTTCTTCATCGTCATTCGTGAAAAACTGGATTCAAAAGGGTGGCTGTAAAAGACCCGTGGTAATGTGGTGGTAAGGTGCAGGGGAGGGGAAGCATATGTTTTCCTATAATGAGGCCAGTGCTTCTGGATTGTGAACTTCACAAATGTTGCTCAATCCTCCTCTCACCACCCCTACCTTAGGTGGGACAGGATGACTGGAGGAGGTCTAGAGTTGCATATTTTCCTTCTTCCATTGGGAAGGCAGGAGTGGGCAGGACTTGGGTATTTACCTCTCCAGATTCTTTGATAAATCCCAGCAGATTACAGCAGTTCCTTCTGAGGGCATATCTTGTTATGAGTAGAATGCTCCAGGTGTTTTCCAAAATGGTTCCTTCTCTCCTCTTGCAGAAGCAGGAGTACAATTGCAAAAGCCTGTAGGCCTCACGAGTAGGTTCCCACTGGATCTCAGAGTTGTCCACACTGAGCCTCCAGCACCTCAGCAACCCCAGCTCTGGCTTCCTTCCCCAGCAATGGTTTCAGCTCCAGGGTTCTGTTTGAGTAAACCGTAGTTCTCTCTATTGGCTGTTGGTCTCTCCAATTTTGGAGGCAATGGTTTGCATGATAACTTCACTTCTCTTAATGGATCCAAAGAGAGTGATTTTTCAGTTTGTTCAGTTTTTAAATTGTTGTTAGTGTACAGATGCAACCTTCAAATTTCTCACATGTCAGGCTAGAAACTGGAATTCCGGTGTTTCCCTTGAAATCCACACTGACCCTTTTCATCCTGCTTCATTACTGGTACCAATATTTTAGAAAGCCCATCAAGGTCTCTCCAGTTTTAAAATACTCAACCCATGAGAGAAATTAATTAGCACATTAGATGGTAAAGGCATTTTATGTAAAACTAATTTCAAAGACGTTTTGTCATTTCTACATGAATTTTTCAGGCATGATTTGCTTGAATTAACATTCATGAATCTACCAAAAAAAATGTCAAAGGGAGTATAAAATTATTTTTCGTGAACTCTATTTGATAGATGCATGGTACTTGTCTGGAAATTAAGAACCAATAAGGAATTACTTATAACAGATATTTCATGTTAATTAACTGAAGATAACAAGGGATAATGGGGGGGGCTGTGTAATAGGAATGTTTTTCTTTGAGAAAATGCTCTTTGAGCACACCTGAATGATAGTGACCTTAGGTGGTTGTGTATATTCAAAATAAATATTTACCACAGGTAAGACTTCAGACTGAAGCTTTCAAAAAGAATGATCAGGTATGCCAACAAACATAAAAAGAAACTTTGATTCATGAGATTATATCCTCAAATTAAGTTACAAACAAATTGTTTGTAATTTTTTGACTATCCTTAGCCGCTGTTTCTTGTCTTGGTAAAGGGATACAGGAAGAAATTCACAAAGTTAAATAACAGTCAAAGTCAACCTGGTCCAGGAAATACTGCTGAACATGAGGTCTGCTTCCAAAGCTACCGTCACATCTGTTATGTGCCCGGGCAAGCTATGGATAAAAGTTCTTTAAATTCTCTTTCTCTGGAAATGGGACACTATTCTCTTTCCTGCAAATGTCTCTGTGGTTATACCTAAAAACCTGAAAGAACTAGCCAACCATTTGATATCATTTCTACAACTTCCATGATTCTTACCACTGCTACTACATTACAATAACATGTATAAGGCATTCTCTAGGTGTCAGAAGCCCTCCTGGGAGCTTCTCATGAACCACCTTAGTTAATCCTTACAGTGACCCTACACTGCAGGCTTTCAATACCCTATTCCTATATGAATGAGAAAAGGGGGACTTGAGAGGTTGTAATATTATGAGATGGATCTAGCAATCTATGTCTATATATTCATATCTCTATCTATGCATTGTTTTATTTTGTTTACCATGGTTTCTGGTACCTAACTCTCTCTCCAAGGCAGGACATAGAAACTAGAATTTCTCTTCCCCAAGGTGGATCAGAGAAACCCTAATCTCCCCGCCCCCCCCCTTTGACTTTGACTCTGACCTACCCTTGATAATAAGTCATTGACCTTCCTCATTCCAGAGGGCTCCTGTCCTGTACCCTAGAGGGAGGACTGCTGTACAAAGAAAGGCCAAGAAGAATCTGAACAGACAGGCCTTGCTGGGTTTCCCTACCTAGACTATTAGAATCATGGCTGTACAATAAAGGCTCTATAAAACCCTCAAGGTACAGGATTTGGGGAGCTTCAGAAAGCTCATATGGAGAGTCACAGGAAGACAAATAAAAACTCATGAGCCAAGAGGGTGGCACACCACCTCCAGTGCACAGGACCCTTCCAGACCTGTGATATCTCTTCATCTGGCTGCCTATTTGTATCCTTCATTAACTCAGTAAATGTTAGTGTTTCTCTTGAGTCCTGTGAGCTGTCTTAGGAACTTAGTAGAATTTGAGGGGAGGGTTGTGGAGATCCCTGACTGTCATAAGGTTCTGGAAAAGCAGATCTGTGATGAGGTTTAAGTAGGGAGAGTTCGGGGGACTGAACCCTCAACCTGTGAGCTCTTATGCTCTCCCCAGGTAGAGAGTGTCAGAACTGGTCTCAGAGGGCTCCCAGCGGCTGTTCACTGCTGAGCCGCTTGGTTGCTGGTAGGAAGAAATCTGACCCCCTCCTACGGTCACAGCAGTGACCTATGCTGTGAATGTGCATAGGAGAGTCTGAGCTGATGCTGGATTTCCTGTCTAGAGTCTTGGAGAGGTTAAGTAACGCCTAAGGAGGTTTGACTCAACTCCAGGTCTTCTCTGTGCTTCTTAAAATGGATTTGTTTTCTGTGAACAGTAACGATACTGATTTTGAAAAATTTAAATTAACAGATTTTATTGTTGTCATTTTAGAAGAGGGACTGAATCCAGGGGCATTTTAACACTGAGCCCCATCTCCAATCCTTTTTACCTTTTTATTTTGAGACAGTCTCGCTAAGTTACTGAGGCTGACCTAGAACTTGTGATCCTCCTGCCTCAGCCTTCAGAGTTTCTGGAATGACAGGCATGTGCCATCACTCCCAGCAAAACAAATTAATACATTTATATACTTAGAAGAAAATAATATCCTGATTTCTTATCTCATTTTTAACCCTTGAATTCTGCAAAGCCCTTAAGAAGCAATCTACATGAAAATTTAATTAAAAACACAACATAACACCCTAATTTACCTGTTAAAATGATGCCTAAAAACATCCAGAAACAAAGGAAAATGTTTCCTGCCTTAGGACCATGGTCTGTTGTGAGCTTTCCTTGAGCCAATGTGAACAAAATCCCAAACACCTAAAATAAAATAAGAGAAATAATAAGTTTGCTTCCTTCAAGTGTACACTTTGGGGCTGGGGATATAGCTCAGTTGGTAGAGTGCTTGCCTTGCATGCACAAGGCCCTGGGTTCAATCCCTAGCACCAAAAAAAAAAAAAAAAAGTACATTTTTTCCCCAGAACTTTTTAAACTCATTTTCTTCATATGGTTTGGCTTCTAGAAATAGTCTCTGAAAAATGAGATTGTTAAAAGAAAAACTATGGTCAAACTTAATATTCACTAGATGACTAGGTAAAATAATCATTGAGGGTTTAAGAGAAAGCTGAGGAATACCCACCTGTGCAGCAGCATTGAGAAGACCAGACGAAGTGCCCTCAGATTCAGGGTAAGTAATTTCAACAGCAAATTCAAAACCCAAGGGAAGGTAACCAGTCATGAAAAACCTAGGGAAACAAAGCCACAATTATGGGGGAAAAAGTACCAGGACAATGTCACACATTGATGCAAGCATTCTATAAGTGAATATTTTGAGGTTGCTATGTGAAAGTAAGAAACTATTATTATTGATTAACCAGCCAATTCACAAGAATTGGGAAGCAAAGCAATTCCTGAGTTTGTTTCTAAGAAAAAATTGCATCTAGTTTTCTAGGCCAATTATCTTTATACCTAAAGTTACTTGGACTAGGTAAGGATTATCCATTTTTTACCAACAGTATACAAAAACCAATTTTCAACTATTTTTTATAATTCACATTTATATACACAGTAAGCAGTGAATCTTCCAGACTTTAAAATATTATAGAAGCTTGGGATGACCTTTAAAAAATTAAAAGCCAGAGTAATAAGACTTCAGAATTATAATAACATGGTATCATTTGTCTTTATTATATTTGACACTTACCCAAGTATCCCTCCAGTAACAAACACGATGATAATGTAACCAAGGTCCAACGTGAAAGTAAATATAACCATTCCGATAAAAGACAAAATGTAAACTATCAAAGTTGTCTGTCTAAAACAAAACAACAAAACCGTTAGTATTTTTTTCCTGATCATCATAGGCACATAAAAATCATGTGGCTAGCCATTGCGCTATCTAAATAGTAATAAATCTTTGTTTTTCAAAATTTGTTCATTCTAGCTAGGTACACAGGCACATGCCTATAATCCCAGTGACTTGGGAGGCTGAGGCAGGAGGATTAAAAGTTCAAGGACAGCCTCAGCAATTTAGCAAGATCCTAAGCAACTTAGTAAAACTCTGTCACAAAATAAGAATTAAATAGGTCTGGGGATGTAGGTCAGTGGTAAAGCACCTCTGGGTTCAATCTTCAGTACCAAAGGGAAAAAAAAAAAACCTCACCCATTCTTCTTATTTGTAGAAAATGTTATCCACCAAATCATGGGCTTTCAAGATTAAATTTAAGATTCAACAACAGCAGGAAAAAAACTCACATCATAGCCAGTGCTTAGATAGGAAGGGATACTCACATAGACAAAATAACTTTTACGCCACCAAACAGGAGAGTTCCCCACTCATATTTCACGATTCAGATCAAATCTCACCTCTTCCGAATGCCTTCCCTAACCCCTGCAGCTCACAAAATTCCCTCCTTTAAATCCCCTTATCAATTACACCTACACAACTGGCACTTATGACATCAATTTTAGTGTATTATATTATCATTTAATGTTTCTTTTGTGGATGTCTTATAGCTCCATTTAGATGATGAGTGTCTCAAGGACAGGGATCACATATCGCTTGCTGTAATTCCTAGCCAAAAGGGATACACACACCAGGAGTTGGGAGAAGGAACGGGAGTTACCCTGAGAAGAAAGTCAGGGTGACCAGAACACATTTCTATGCCTACCAAGTTTTCTAAACATACTGTGGACTAAAGACTATAAAGAAAGGAAGCCCTTTACACATGAGCGCTTCCTCTACAAATTAAATGAGTCTTACCCTAAGATATAATTTTACAGTAGTGAAACCATAAAAAGTGCATTGTTAAATTGGGAGAAAATTATCTTGGAGAATTCCAAGGTCAAAGATACTTTTGGAAGGGTTTAGGATAATAGTATATAAATACATTGGGCCTTAAAGACATATCTGACACAGTTCTGATTCACTCATTCAGTTTATTTCATTCTATTCATTTATTCACTCACAGGTCCATTCATTCATCCTCCCAAGCAGACAAGAGACGGTTTAGCCTATTAATTCTTTTAAGGCCTCCAGAAAAAGATGCTGCTTCTGAAAGCCTTTCTTGGTTTCCCAATTAGTGTCTCTCACTTTTTCTTTTATGTTAGCATTTTGCTGTTCCATATAGATGCAAATGAACAGCATTTTTATATTACGCATTTTATAATAGTTAAGTGGTGCTATGGTTGAAACATCTCAGTCAAAAATTTTTATCACAAAAAAAAAAAAAAAAGACAAATGGAGCTGGGGCTGTAGCACAGCACTTGCCTCTCCCATGTGAGGCACTGGGTTAGATACTCGGCACCACATAAAAATAAACAAATAAAATAATGCTGTCCATCTACAACTACCAAAAAAAAAAAAAAAAGATTTAAAAAAGGCAAATGTTTTTGATGGAACAGCTTTTTGATTGTTTTCAAACCTGTAACATAAGAAAGAAGAAGATAAAGTCTGTCAAAAGTCAAATGTTTCTAGAAAGAACCTATTTTATGGATAGACTGGAGACTATAATACTAAGCGAAGTAAGGCAATCCCAAAAAACCAGAAGCCCAATGTTCTCTCTGATATGCTAACACACAACAAGGAAGGGTGGGCAGGGGCAGAATAGAAGTCCATTGAATTAGACAAAGGGAGGGGAGGGGGAAGGAGAATAGGAAGGACAGTAGAATTCATCAAATGTAACTTTCCTAGTCTTGTATACGAATACATGACCAGGGAAACTCCACATCATGTACAACCACAAGAACAGGGACCTAATTAGGATAAGTTATACTCCATGCATGTATAATATGTCAAAATACACTCTACTGTCATGTAAAACTAAGAAGAACAAATAAAAGAAGGACCTATTTTAGATAGAAGTGAATCCTTCTAAAAAGAATATATACATATTGTTAAATTGAAAGAAGTTCATCAGGTATCCACGTTCTCAAAGATAAAATAAATGTGACCAATAAAAATATAGCAATACATAGATTATTGAAACATTTGCTAAGTGACAAGAACCTACAAGTGTTTAGAACTCGGGTCTTTAAGTAATAGTAACACTTTAAATCCCTTAAGATTAAAAAGTAAAGTTTCTTTCAAAATCAAAATACCTTTAGGTCCCAGTGGTTTGGGAGGCTGAGGAAGGAGGATGGCGAGTTCAAAGCCAGCCTCAGCAACCTAGCAAGGTCCTAAGCAACACAGTGAGACCCTATCTCTAAATAAAATATTTAAGAAATGGGCTGGGGATGTGTCTCAGAGGTAAAGCACCACTGGGTTCAATCCCTGATAACCCACCCCCACCCCAGAAAAAACAACACCTATACACATCTATTTTTCACTTACTTGTATGTTTTGGTATAATCCAGCCACAAGCCACAGAGAATGGAGCCCACCATTCCAGCTACTACCAGTGTTAGCCCAATCCTTCCAGCATTCACCTCTTCTCCCTGAAAACAATTTGCAGAAGAAACTAATCAAATATTTTTAATTCAAATATATCCTTCATATTCCATACCTTTATCCAGACCATGGAAACAATCAGATAAAATTAAGCACACAGAAGGAAGATTCAATACTAAGAGAGGGAATAAAAAAGGAAAAATTTCCTTGTCCCTCCATAGCTAGAAGCACAATGATTTTTATTAGGATTCTTATGTAATTTATACATATCTAAAAAGGAATAGCTTTTACAGACTACAACTGTGTTTTCCTTTGGAAAGCAGAGAGGTCAGTTAGAATTTAATATTTACTTCTCCATGTTTATGTTGATTTCCCTTTAAAATAGTTTGTCTTTTTCCATATACCCAATAACATTAGTAAAGTATGGTCATAGAGATGATAATTTCTGCTTCCAACATTGTATGCTTTATAAGTCAGATTTAATAGGTTTGATGAAAATTATGGGAGATCACTGGGCATGGTGGTGCACACCTGTAATCCTAGTGACTTGGGAGGTTGAAGTAGGAGGACTGTGAGTTCAAAGCCAGCCTCAGCATCTTATTGAGGCCCTAAGCAACTTATCGAGATGTTGTCTCAAAATAAAACATAAAAAGGGCTGGGGATGTGGTTCAGTGGTTAAGCACCTCTGAGTTAAATAAATAAATAAAGAGATCATTGTTTTCAGACTGAGCTCCTATTTTAGGCCAGACAGACCCGACCAGACTAGACTAAAATCAGAATGGAGTCATTCCTGCTAGCTGCCACATAATCGAACTTGACTTTAAAATGGGCTAGAGATGCACAGCAACCAATCAGGAGCTGGGTTCCCGCTGTTTTAACCCTATAAAGTAACTATAGAGCTGGGTGCGGTGGCTCACACCTGTAATCCCAGCAGCTTAGGAGGCTGAGGCAGGGGGACAGCAAGTTCGAGGCTCACCTCAGCAACTTAGCGAGACCCTGTCTCAAAAAATAAAAAGGGCTGGTGGTGTGACCTAGTGGGTAAGCATCCCTGGGTTTGATCCCAGGTACCCCCCTCAAATGACCAATCCTCTTTTGTGCCTTTTTTCTCCTTTCTTCAGTCCTTTCACCTCCTCTGCTCAGTTGAGGGCCTTTCTAGATCTTCCGATAGGATGCTGCTTCATTCAACTAGACCCTTAAAATTTTCTTTTCTTTCTTTTTTTTTTTTAACAAATGTATTCTCCGTTAAAACAAATGTAAATCTTCTACAGCAACAAAGTGTTAATTCTTGAACTTATGATCAGACGGCTGACGAAAAATTCTTGGCCAGACATGCAATAAGATGAAAGCAGAAGCTTACCTCGTAATGGGTCAATATCATTTGATTTAATAATGTTGAGACTGAATAAAATGCTCCAGTCATGATTCCTACATGAAGAAAAAATTATAAATGTATCATTTTCCAGTTCATGAAGTAACACGGAATACCAGGTAACAGCTGTGAAAATATAATGTATTTCCCGCACTGTTGATGAAATAAAAAACTACTGCCATCCCCTTTCAGAATGTGGACTGATTAACTTAACACCTAAATTTACTAGAGAGAAGTGCTATGGTTTGGAAGTTTATCCCAAGTATGCTGGTATTGAGGTGATGAGATCTTTAAGAGGGAGGCCTAGAGCAAGGTGATTAGGTTAATTAAACCCTTGAAAGGGATTAATAATGGTAGAGAATTAGCTCTCACAAGACAAGGTTGTTAAAAAGTGAGTTGATCCTATCTCTTGGTCCCTTTCACATGTGGCCATTTCCCATTCTCCTCTCTCCCACATTGTGATGCCGTCAGGAAGCCCTCAGAACAAAAGGAATAACCTGCTCTTGGACTTTCAGCCTTCAAAACTATGAGTTTAATAAATATTTTTTTCTTTACAAAGCACCCAACCTCAGGTATTTTGTTATAGCAACAGAAAATGGACTAATAGAATATGATAGCAAAATCCTGTCATAGCACTATTATTATTTAGATTCAGATATTCTGACCATAAATCATATCCCCACATACAACATTGTATATGGCAACCAACAAGCAATGGATCATTTACTTAGCATCTACAATGCACTATAGCCAATGAATGTTAAAAGATCTTACTTCAAAGATCTTACTCCTGTATCAAAATATTTACAAGGCAATTTGCAAATCAACATTAATGAAAGAATACTTAAAAAGAGACATATAAAAAGAGCTGGTTATCAGGAATCATATGAGTAGGTATAAACCCTAGTATATCTTAATGTATTATATGAATTTTGGTAAGCTGAGATTTTAATGTTACTGAGGTTTAAGTTTATTATTTCTCCATATATATTATTAAATATTTCAGGAATATAAAGAATATAGAAATTCTATAGCAAATATCCTTATTTAAGACCTAGTTTTGTTGAACATTAACATTTCATCATCTGTACTTCAGATTCATTTTTAGACTTTCCACAATCCTATCTCTCATCTTTTGAGAAAGATAAGAGAACAAAGGAGTAGTGTCTGCTATAAAAATAACTCCTATGAACCAATCAGAAAAAAACAATCCCTGGGCTGGGGATGTGGCTCAAGCGGTAGCAAGCTCACCTGGCATGTGCAGGGTGCTGGGTTCGATCCTCAGCATCACATAAAAATAAAACAAAAATAAAATAAAGATGTTGTGTTCTCCGAAAACTAAAAAAATAAATATTAAAAAATTCTCTCTCTCTTTAAAAAAAAAAAGAAAAACAAAAAAACAAAAAAACAATCTCAAGAAAACCAGATGGCATTATGTATGTGTATGTTATTGTATGTGATGCTCAACCTTGATTGAGATAATCAGTTATCTCAGGACAATTGATGAAATAATTTCTGTCAAACATCAAGTTTTTATACATGAATAATGTGCTAGTCATTAATTATTTGCAAATATTCTCGTTTTATTTATTCCAGGAGTGGCCACGTGACTTAAAATATGAGCAAAAGTAACACTCTGTCTTCCACCCAACTAGCTGTGGAAGCAGGCAGAGAGATGTCAGACTGAATCTGAGTCACTTTCATGAGCAAAACCTTGCTGCTAATTCACACTGAACATGGAGCATGCCAAGGAATAAACTTTAATTTGACAGGCCACTAAATATTTTCTGCAAGGGTTTCATTGAGGTAATATAACTTAGCTTCCATCAAGATAGGAGTAGACCATGGGACTCTCTGTTCTTCCAGTGATCTAACCATCTATCTGTTGCTATTCATGACATCTTAATTACCATAACTTTATAAATCTTGGTAGCTAAGAATGAGTCCCTCATCTTGTTCTTTGCTAAAATTATCTTTAATAATTTTAAAATTATCTTTGTTGTTCTTGATCCTTACTTCTCTCATAGAAATTTTAGAATAAGTTATGTTCTATTATAATCCCTATTTAAATAAGATTACAGGATAAAGCCTAAAGCTGGTCTTAAAACCTGTTAGCAAAACTGAACAAAAACACCTGGGTAACTGGTCTTTGTTACTCAGCTTCCCATTGAGTCCAAGGTTGTCCCTTGGCCAGACTGGATTTGCCTGGGAAAGCAGAGGATAAAATGAGGTCTATGCTCAGGGCTGAGTGTATTCTACTACACTGCACCCAAGGGTGATCTTATCTATTCCAGATCTATATAAGGACAGCAAGTGTTTAGACAAAGACTTCCGATTAGAACAAATAAATAAATTTACAAAGTAGGTATCTTATCTAAGGGATGCTTCTTACTGATTTTTAAATGGAATGGTACTAAGGTTCTGCCTTTAGTGTGATGTCTGCTGTTGGGGTTTGTAGATAAACCTGATATATCCGGTTCAGAAAGTTCATTTTTATTCACAGTTTGCTCCAAGTCTTTGATCAATGGGTAATTAATTTTATCACATGCTTTCACATAGCAATTGGGTTAATTTTTATTGTGGTAAATTATATGAATATATTATAAGAATACTAATAGCAAGGGATGCTTTGTTATCTGAATCTAGAGTATGGTATATCTGTGTTTCATGTAACAGAGGGCAATATTTGGGATAGTAATAAAGCATATCTCAAAAATGCTTTCCTTAGTTCATTTGGTTGCCGAGTATATATACAATTCTAAAAATTTCTCCTAGAAGTGCTATTCCTTATCCAGACTATTCCATGTGCAAGACTGCTCCAATCTTATGTGTAGAATACAAGGCGTGGAGGTGACAAGTATTCATCCAAAAGATGTGACCTGATCTTCACTCAACATTATGATCCTTAACTTGTATCTGTTTAGTGGGCGAAGAAATTTCTCCAACTGTGATTGAGACGTTGCGCTCCTCACTGTATTTCCTAACTCTTTGCTCCTTATATTCCTTCAATAGAGTAAACTCAAATTAGCTTCCCAAGCAGTCTCTGTGTCTGGCCCTTTCATCAATACAGTGATCCTGCATCGTAAACTGGCGTCATTATCAATTTGAGTTCTCTCTGTACATAAAGGTATACTCCTCCATTTAGGTCTTCTTTTATGCCTTGCAATGTTTTATAATTTTCTTTATAAAGTTCTTTTGGTTATTTATTTCAAGATATATTTTTGTTGCTAATACAAAGAGAAATGCAATGAATGTTTTTGAATCGTCAGTTATCTACCTAGTAATCTCAATGATTCATTAGCTTAATAGTTGTCTCTAGGTTCTTCTGCATTATTTTAATGGATGAGGGATCAGCAAATTTTCTGTAAAGGAATAGATATGTAAATATTTTTAACTTTGCAGGCCATGTTGTCTCTGATGCAACTACTCAACTAGCTCTTGGAACCCAGAAATAGCTAAAAACACTGTGCAATAACTGTTTTCATAAAAACAGGCAACAGATAGAATTGGCTCAGGGCCATTGTTTTCTGACTGCTGATCTACATAATCATGTTACCTACAAACAATAACTTCTTTATTTCTGTTTCTTATATTGTTTCTTTCTTTTTCCTATGTTTCTGAGACAGCCAGGACTCCCAGTTGGATGCTGAATAGAAAGTGACAGTAGGTATTTTATCTAAGGGATGCTTCTTATTGATTCTTAAATAGAATGGTTCTAAGGTTTTGCCTTTAATATGATGTGTGCTGTTGGGGTTTTGTAGATAAACCTGATATATCCGGTTCAGAAAGTTCATTTGTATTCACAGTTTGCTACAAGTCTTTGATCAATGGGTAATTAATTTTATCACATGCTTTCACTCAGCAATTGGGTTAATTTTTCTCTTTGATCCATTACTGTGGTAAATTATATGAATATATTATAAGATTACTAAAACATTTCTCATTCCTGAGATAAGCCAAATGTGGTCGGGATGTATTATTATTTTTATAAATTAGTTTCCTAGTATTATAGTTGTTTTTTTTTTACTATCTACATTCATAAGTGAAATTAACTAATAATTTCCCCTTATACAATCCTTATCTGATTTTGATTATAAAGGTTACAATAGCCTTACAAGTTGAAGATGATAACAGTAATTGCCTTTGGGAGGGAAAGTGGGTGACCCAGGAAAAGAGATGGGGGACACTAACTTTCCATTGTGCACCCATGGTACCTTATGAATTTGATACTATATGCATGTATTATCTGTTTGTACGAATAAATAAAACTTAAAATTAAGAAAAAAGAAATCAAGTCTTCTTTCCATCTCAAAAATAATTACTTGAAGAATTAAATACATATGAAAGCCCGTTATACGTTTTTTTAAAAGCTTTTTTTAGTTGTCGATAGACCTTTATTTTATTTATTTATATGCAGTGCTGAGAATGGAATCCAGTGCCTCATACATACATACATGCCAGGCAAGTGCACTGCCACTAAGACAAAACCCCAGCCCCACACCTTTACAGATTTTAAACATAATTTTTTAAAAATATTTTTTTAGTTGCCAATGGATCTTTTATTTTTTATTTATTTGTTTATTTGTATGCAGTACTGAGGACGGAGCCCAGGACCTCACACATGTCCGGCAAGAGCTCTACCACAACTCTGGCTCCCTTAAACATAATTTCAATAACCACTTGTGTACAATCAAGTTAACTACCAAGTGATATGATCCTAAAGAGATCAAAACTCCACAGAAGTCAGAGTACTCAGAGAGGGTACCATCTCAGGCCCTGGCTCACACCATTTCCTTTTCCCCTTTGTCTGCGCAATGAACTCTATCCCCATGTTCTTCACATGCCCTCCCTGCCACCCACAGCCCTTCCTTCATTCACCCTTTCCTAACCAGGAAGGCCTGTAGCATGCACTCACAACGCAACCTCTCATATTACTATTATTTTTTTAATAAATCCCTCCTACATTGTTGTTTACTTTTCAGGTATTTAAATTATCTTTCCCACTTGGGAGATAACAATAAATGGTCATGACAACTAATGATAAATTACTTATGGGCAGAAATTATACCATGCTTCATTCTAGCCCAAAAAGCATTTAGAGCACTGTTATACATTTAGTTGGTATTTATAGCTTTTGATGAAATAAATTACAAATGAATAACAACATGAACAATAAGTGAAGTACACATTAAGGTAGGTGTTGTAGGAACACATTTCAGGTAAAGGAAATAATGGCACAAAATGAAGAGACTGGAATGAAGAGTGTACGTACATGTGGAGAAATTCTGTGTGTATGTCTGTATTGGAGTTGGTCTTAAGTTTGTCTGAAAAACAAATTTTGTATTGGAAAACAATACAAATTTGTATTGAAAAAGTTCTCTTTTTTTTTTTAAAGAGAGAGTGATAGAGGGAGAGAGAGAGAGACAGAGAGAGAGACAGAGAGAGAGACAGAGATAATTTTTTCCAATATTTATTTTTTAGTTACTGGCGGACACAACATCGTTGTTTGTATGTGGTGCTGAGGATCGAACCTGGGCCGCACGCACGCCAGACGAGCGCGCTATCGCTTGAGCCACATCCCCAGCCCTGAAAAAGTTCTCTTAAATGACAGCCTTAAGAAATAAATTTGCTCTAATATTATTGAGCCACTGTATTTCTCTACCTCCTTCTTTAAAATTTTAGGTCTAACTACAAAGGGAGGTTTCCTGTAAAATTAAGGAAAGGAATTATGACATGCTAAAGTATTTAAAGATGAGATGATATGACACTTCTGAAATTCCCTTTTAACATATTCTAGGAAGCCAGGTGTGGTGCACACGCCTGTAATCCCGGCAGCTCAGGAGCTGAGGCAGGAAGATCACAAGTTCACAGCGAACCTCAGCAACTTAGCAAATTTCTAAGCAACTCAGTGAGACACCATCTCAAAATATATATATATATATATATATATATATATATATATATAATTCTGGGAAAAAATAGAGGAAGTATATAAATTAAGAATGACAAAATGTTGGTAACTGACAGCCAAATAGTGACGGCTACATGGAGTTCTTTAGATTAAATATCTCACTCTTTTATGATTAGCAATTTCCACTAAAAACTGAGGAACTAATCCTGTTGAAAGGGTGAGAGTTCAAATCAGGCCACAAAAAAAGAGAAGTAGCAAGTAACTCCCAAAGGCAAGAAAAACACAAATCAGGGAGTGTTAGTATACAATGTGGATAGTGTTCATGAAAGAAACAAACAAAAAACCAAACTGTCAGAAAACCCTGAAAAGAACCAGTGTTGGTATCTGCAGTCAAAGCTACAGTGTAGGATAAGTAACTGTCAGCTAACTTGAAAATTTTAGAAGAACCAGAATTTTAATTGAACCCCAGGTGCTTAACCACTGAGCCCCAGCTGTTTTTTATATTTTATTTAGAGACAGGGTCTCACTGAGTTGCTAAGTGCCTTGCTAATCTGCTAAGACTGGCTTTGAACTCACGATCCTCCTGCCTCAACCTCCTAAGTTGCCACTGCGCCCAGCCAGAATTGTTTTTAAGTTAGAACTGTAATATGATTTTCTTAATGTCTAGTTTTGACAGAACAGTTAAAAATAAGGACCAGTTTGCACAGGGTGTAAGAAAGGAGCCACTGACAGCACTTCCCACATGCTTATTGCATGTGGTCATAACGACAGTTCATCAATGACCTGCACTCTAGGAGAACTCACAAGAAAACAACACTTCTCTCTGTGAGATCTATTTATTTTGAAATCATGTAAAATGATCCACCATGGATTCTTTTGCTTCCAGTTTATCATTTAAGTCCGTGATTATGCTATGGAGTTCACTAACCAATTTCATTAAGGTTAAACCACCAGGTTAAATAAAAAGAATCCACAGTGCTCAAAGGTTTACACAGACATCATAGAAAATACAAGAAAGCCACTTACCATAACTGATCAACAGAAGGACAAAAGGAATATTTTTAAACAGGTTTCTTATTGATTTCTTGTAAGAGTACTCTTCAGGGGGACTGTCTTGAATTGCTGCCTGAGCCTGACTTGGTGGGTATGGAGGTTTTTCTTTGAATGCTGGGAATGAACATGAGAAGGATTATATGTAATTAACATAAGTGTAATAAATTGCCCGGGTAAAAATACATAATTATTTATATCTCTCTTAGTGAGCAGACAGAATCAGTTTAAGGAAGTAGTGAATGTCTTTTATGGTGAGGTTTTTCATTTTCAGTGACTTCTAAGTGCAAAACAGTTTTGGTATTATCGTCTCAGCCCTCTGAAACTGACTAAAACTCAAGAGATTTGGCCAGTTCACTTATCTGAGCTACAAAACCATCATTAATATGTCACCATCTTGCCTACTAATTATTTCATTTTAGTTGATCAACATTAATTTTTACTATATCAAGGACTCTATTTTTAAATTTAGTTCAATTTGTAATTAGAGGTAAGCCTCGGGTATGAACAAGATGATAAACTACTGAACATTGAGAGGACTGTCTTGAGTTAGTAACTATTCCTTCTGCAATTTGATGCAAAGTTCATCATCTGATTCAAGGACACATCTGGAACTGAGGAAGTCCAGGTGGTTTCATGGGAGCAGGCTGTATTTCTTGCTCACTTACTTGAGTGGCACATGGAAAATCTAGGGGTAGAAATAACAGACAGGAAAGTGTGGCATATGGTGTCTGATGCTCTACAGTTTTAGTACTGTTTCTAGTTAGAGATCTCACAGCATTCTTAGCCAGACATCTAAAGACTTCCTTTGGCTAGGCAGGGAAGGATCTACCAATTTCCCACAATAGATGGCTAGGGAGAGATTTCTATAGGGTTAGTGGTATGGTGTGGATAAGTGTCCTTTAAAGGTTCATGTGTTAAAGGTTTGGTCCCTGGGGAAGCTAAAGATTCTCCAAGTGGAACCTTTCAGAAATGGGGCCTGGTGGGGGGCCTTTAAGTTACCAGGGGCATGCCCTGGAAGGGGATGGTGGGACCCCAACCCTTTTCTCTCTCTTTCGTTTCTTGACTCATGTGAGCCATCTGCTCCATCACGCTCTCTGTGCCATGGCCACTCAGCAAGCCCATCAAAGGCCTAAAGCCCAATCATGGACTAGAACCTCCAAAACTATGAGTTAAAATAATCTTTTTCTTTTTATAAGTTAATTACCTGAAGTATTTTGTTATAGAGATAGAAAACTAACAGGCTATCTAGAAGTCATAACTAAGTGACAAAAGAGTTAATCTGCATTTTAAAATTTGGCATGTCAGAAATTAAAATCTACTCTTTTTAGTCCCTCAAAATTTTAAGCTATTCACTAAAAAAAAATTTAACTACAACAGAAGGAAAAGTCTGTATCATTAAATCTAAGATGCTTGCACTCAGTGACCTTGCCAGGTTATCACACAACCTTGTCTCCATTACCACAAATGTTAGACATCATTGATCAGTAAAGGCACCTTTACTTCAGAGATTTCATGAAAACATACACCTTAGCATTTAATCAAATAGAGTAAATTCAAAGAGAAAAAAGAAGGTAAGTTGATTCAGAAAAAAAGTAACATTTCTGGAAGATTACAATTTCTGCTTTTCTTTTTTCCCCCTCTTTAGTGAAATTTTCTAAATTTCTGCTTTTCTTTCTCTTTCTCCCTCCCTCGTGTTCTTTTGTGACAATTTCTTTCTTCCAACAAGGGAGACCTATTCTAAGTGGGTTAGAACTGATGAACCTGTCAACTGAAACCATTTTAAAACAATACATATTTTGAGATTCTATCCAAGTTCAATAATGAGAACCTCCATGATAAAATCTATAGTAAACAAAAAAACTCCCCAAATGCTATCAGTATAGCCATCTGGGTTTGAGAATCACTGAGAAAGGAAAAAATATCCCTTATAACTTCTGCAAAATACTGCAATTCTCCAATTCTCCTTTTTGCTGCTAAAAAACAAAAAAAAAAAATAAGTTTTTTTTGCTGGTCAAAACATTAATTATGATATAATCAAAATGTATCAAACTGAAATATCTATTTTTTACAGATATCACAACTAATTCAAGAAGAGATATAGCTCATAAATATTTACTACTTAATATCCTTACTTGGAAAGACTAGGAGATTAAAATGTTTAAGTTGTTGCAATTCTTCTTCCTCCTTTTACCCTATCCGATCCTTGATCTGTTAGGATGTTTGGCATCTTTTCTGGAAAGTCTTTTTATGTCTTAGTTAGATAGGAGATATCTGTTTATTAACAATGTTAGTACAGAATACTCACAGTTGTAAAAATTTAAGACTGTAAAACTTTGCTTACAAGGTAGCAGGTTATTTAATGTGTTTTAAGTCTATTACTTAGGTTTTTATTCACTATGATAAAAAGAAGTCTAAATGTTCCAAATCTGAAGTTAAATTTCACGAAGAGGTGAATACAATTTTTCACCAGTCTTTAACTCCACTAGATTTATTTTCTGAATATAAGTGTTATCATTTAGTTCAGATAAACTCTCTCTTAGCAAAATCTAGTCTGTATTTAAAAACTATACCCTATAGTAAAGTCAGACTTAAGTTTACATGAAAAAAAAGGTGAACAAAAAGCCAAGGGTGTATGACCTTGTTTACATTGAATTGCTATTTTCTTTCTTTCTTTTCTTTTTTCTGCAATGCTGGGGATTGAACATAGGACCTAATGTATGCTAGGAAAGCTCTCTGTCACTAAGCTACATCCCCAGCCCTCAGTTTCTGCTTTCTCCTTCATAAAACAGAATTAACAATAATAAGCTCTAAAGGATCACATGATATGACATATCTAAAAGAATTTTGCAATTATTAAAATATAAAATATATTGTCCTTTTAGAAACATTATTTTACAAAATCAGAGCCTTTGCCTTAGTGGCTTGAAATTCTTACAGCCTAAATAAAATGTATTTGTTAAAAGTTTATAGCTTACATATGGATATCTTTTTAAAAATTATTATAATTATAATTATTATAATAATTATTATTATTTTAGTTGTAGATGGACATGATACCTTTCTTTCTTTCTTTCTTTATTTATTTATTTTTATGTGGTACTGAGGATTGAACCCAGTGCCTTACACATGCCGGGCAAGCACTCTACCACTGAGCTACAAGCCTAGTCCAAGCATATCTTTAATAGAAAAATCAAAAGTAAGAGCTGGGGATATAGCTCAGTTGGTAGAGTGCTTGTCTACATGCAGAAGGCCCTGGGTTCAATCCCCACTACCATCAAAAAAAAAAAAAAAAAAAGAAAATCACAAGTAAAATGCCTACATGCTACATACACTTGTGTTTAAATACATTAGTATTAAATGTTTTTATTAGCATTACTTTTGGTTTCTGTCATCCACTTACATTAATGAATCAGGAAAATATTTTAATTGACATATTTGGGCTAAATGGCAAATTTATTGCTCTACAGACTTTAAATACAACAATATTACCACTTATACAAGAGGAATTTAAATTAAAAATAAAATGAGGTAAAGTAAAATTAAAATGATCTATTTTGAATATAACATTTTATATATGGATTTACTACCTAGGCTTAAACCTGACTTTGTGAACTTGGGCGACTTAAAGTTATATCAAGTTACATGACCCAGTTTCCTCATCTGTATGTAAAATGGGAGTGATGGTAACAGGACCTTCCTCAAAGGGATGATTAGCACACATCAGCAACCAAATGTGAGAGGCTACAGTGGGGTTCTTCCAGCATGAAATTCAGTGGAAATCTGGATGAACTACATTCACACATATGCTCCACGAGGGAGGGGAATAGGGTTCTATGGCCTGAACTTTCAAGACAGTATTTTAGGAAGACTGCTGAATACCAATTCAGTACACCATGTTGGCTGGATTTTCAAAATAATCATGAGTAGAATTCAGAGGGAAGGAGGGTCATATCTTAGTAATTCAGGAGCCTTGAGCAAAAATTTGGACACGAGGAAAACAAAACAGAGTAATATGCCGATAGTTGTACCTATTATGATTGTTCTTCCTTAGATAAAAATCTTATTTATGCACACATATCATATATATAATAATTTCATATTTTTGGATATCTGATATGTAGTTTACTACGCTCTTCCAAATAGAAAACTAACTGAAAATGATATAAAAAGGAAAACTGGAATTTATGTTCTTTTACACAAGCCCCTCAATGGAATGAGAATTTTATGCCTTAAAAATCTCTATTACTAATGAAACATGTAAAAACAATATTTCCTATCCCAACTAGCAAATCAAACATGGTTACCAGATAAAGCAAATTTAGGGGCTAGGGTTGTGGCTCAGTGATAGAGTGATTGCCTAGCCTGCGTGAGGCACTGGGTTCGATTCTCAGCACCACATACAAATAAATAAAATAAAGGTCCATCAACAACTAAAAAATATTTTTTAAAAAAGCAAATTTAAGAGAGCTTTTACTTCTAAAATGTTTTAAAAACCATGTTAAGTGCTAAAATAGTACAGGGATAATTTGTCTTTTTTTCAATAATTAGCACACTGCAAATATGCCACTCTCTGATTAACTGAAAATATAAAAACCAACCTCAAGCAGATCGGACATGTCAGAATACTTATTATGCTACCAAGAGAACACTTTGTTCATCATCTTAAAAAAAGAAATTAAGCATGTGGGCTGAGCTTCCTATACCTGGATCCTGCAGTTCATCTACCAAGACAGTCTCTATTGGAACACTCTAGAGTCTTCAGCACACATTTCTCTGAAAACTGAGGATTTCACATCTGGAGATCATAAAATATGAATTTTTCATTACTATTAAGGGTATGCTATAAGTTAATATATAGATCTAAAACTTCTGCCTATAATTATATTTAATTATACATTTCAATGATGAAAAGGGGGCTTTTCAACTTTATAGTTCTTTTCTTCCCCAATTCCATTTAAGGTATAGAGTGCCAAGGGGCATTATTATAGTTATGTTAACAGCTCTATTACTTACATATACCTCACTACCTTTTTTCCCTGAAATTAAAATTGTTTCCCATTAAAAATAAACTTTAAAAAAGCAGACCTTCCCAAAGCTTCTTCCAAACTGGTGATGGCTGCTTGCAGCTGACTTTTGACTGACTGCTTCAAGAGACAGGCCCAGACGAGAGGACTCAGTGACGAATGGTGGCAGCCGTGCTTTGCTGGAGTGGCCTAACAAGCAGATAGTTGCCACAGTTTGAAATTCTGTTGAACGGCTTGCTGCTGCCCAGGATCATCCACTGGTCAACATTTTAGATCCAGTTAATTTTAAAATTGGGGATCCTTGGGAGGACTTATCTTAAAAGAAAGATGGTAGCCTACTTGACTCATTTCATGACAAAAACTTGTTCCTGGCTAGGTAGGCATAAGATGCGGACCATGTAGACAAATATGGGAAGGAAGCAAGTAATATATTTGAAATTATCAGAAAGAAAAGTTAGTAGGGAGATAAATGAGATGGATTAGTCGTCAAACCTTTTACGATAGTAAAATACCATGTAGTGGACCCTAGGGTTGTACCATCATTATCTGAGCATAGTACACGTTTAGAATAAAACGAGCAAATGGCATTTGTGATAGTATCAACAAAAATTTTCAGGGTTAGTTATTCTCATCTCTTTGTCATGCATTTATCTAATCTTTAAAGAAAATAATTCACTTACCAATTGCTGTTAAAATAAATAAAAGTGTGGCGACACCTGATGTTCCATAAAACATGATGCTTATATTATGAGCCAGGAGAACTGTGTCATTCTGTGTGTTGGGCACTAAAACAGGCGGTAGCAAAAAGCCAACTGCGGTTCCAAGCTGTAAAATGAATAGTCCTGTTAACAGCTCATATCATTAGAGAAAAAGGTAAATACTGCCATTTAACAGAACATACAGAAGAGCTAATATTTATAAAGGTATACTATAAATTCTAAAACTATGTTCTAATGTCCTTGTATTATTGTTAAAGGAAAATTTCCAACAAATCTCTTTCCTATTCAAAAAAACATATAATGAGTTTCTACTCTGAGTGATTCTGCTATAAAGTAATGTAAAATATAGTCCTTACACTTTTATGCTTACAATCATGAAGGGGAGTAAGAATATGTATAAACAGGATTAAGAAAAAGAACCCACAGAATGAGAAAGAATCAAGAGACTAGCATCCAAAATAAAGAACTCTTAACAACTAAAGAACAAAAAGACAAATGTTCTAGTTTTAAAATAAGCAAAGGACTTGAATAGAGATTTTCCTAAATATATGCAAATGGCCAATAGGCATATTAAAAAATGCCTATATCGTTAATCTTTAGGGACAAGCAAATCGAAACCACAATGAGATTCCACATCACACCCCTAGAAGGGCTATAACAATAAAATAACAAGGGTTGGCAAGAATATGGAGAAATTAAAACCCTCCTATACTGCTGGTGGAAGTATAAAATGATACAGCCATTGTGGATAAAATTACTCTATGAAACAGCAATCTATGCCTAGGTATATACCCCCAAAACTGAAAATAGGTATTCAAATAAAAAATTATATATAAATGTTCATAGTAGTCATAATTCACAATATCCAAAATATGGCAATAACTGAAATGTTTATCAGTGAGTGAGTAGATAAACAAACTGTGGTATATGCAATATTATTCAGTTACAAAAAGAAATGATGTACTGATACAGTGCTATAACATGCATTAACTTTGAATACTTGATAAGCGAAAGAAGTCAGATACAAATGGGGCCATATATTGTATAATTCTGTTTGTATGAAACATTCAGACTAGGTAAATACATATGGAGAGAAAGCAGTTTAGTAATTACTAGGGATTAGAAGGAAGGAGGGAGGGGAGTGACTACTTCGTGGTATTGGACATTGGGAAGGGCCCAAGAAATGTTTCAAGGCTGAGGTAGGAAGAATAACGTTTAACAAATATTTCACTTGCTTCTTTCCAAAAAGCTGAATAGAGACAATCAAAAAGATATTCTAACAGATTGTGGTAATATAGTACCGTGATGGAGAATTAGAGAGTTCTAAGACTGGAGAGACTGTGTAATTTATTACCCAAATCAGAACACTGTTCAGAGTAAAACAAACTTCAATAGCAATTATACCAAGCAACAGAGGTACACCCAGACTAAGCCAGGTAAACTGAGACATGTGCTCATTCTAGGTAGTAGAATATTTTGTAGGAGCACCTTGTACAGACTTGGGTTTAAGAAAAGTTTTTGGAGAAACAAAGGGCTGAAAGAAGTTGGAGCTAGACAAATGAACAAGAAGTAGTGTTCTAAAGTGCATTATGTACAAAGGCCAGGAAGGGGACAACATGACCTTGTAAGAAATTGTCAGTATGCAAGGTCTGGCTCAAAGCAGAGAAAGACTGTGTATGCGGAAAAGGGGAGGGGGGCATGGAGTGAGATAAAGAGCTGGTAGGAGGCAGATCCAAAAAATCTTGCAAGTCACATTAGAGGGGGTCTTGTTTTATCTTAAGGACAATGGAAGTCACTGCAGGGGCCAAGGGAGTGCTCTGAAGAGATCGGCACATTAGGGAGCAGGAAGACTGTGAAGAACAGAGGGAAGGCAGCAAGGGCTGCAGATAAGGAGATCAGTTAGTATGGTCTAGGTAAGCACCATGGGTGGCCAAACTAAGCAATAGAGGTGAAAAGAAATGAACCACAAGATAATTTTGAGTGGTGGGTTTCAAAGAGATATGGCAATACTCCAGTGGCAATGAGTCTGAAGTTCCTTCATGCACTCATCATATTTTCAGGGAGAGCCTACAACAAGCCAGGTGCTATAATAAATACAGTAATGATAATAATATAGTAGTGTAGTGATAGAGCTGTGTGTATTCACACCATATAGCTTGTCATGAAATCTACATTATAGTCAAGGGGAAAGGAGATGGATAATAGACAACAATGAACATGTATGTATATAAATACATAAATAATAAATATGAGAGTGATAAATGTAATATGAAGAATTACAATATAATGATATATAAAATTGACTGAGCAACTCTAAATGGGATTGAGAAATGCCACTGGATATTTAGAATGAATTTTAACAGAGAGCTGAGTGACACTAAGAATATAATCACATGATCCTAAAATGAAGAACATTCCAGGCAAAGGGAATGCTTCTACAAAGACCCTTAACCAAGTACAAGCTTAGTGCCGTTTAAGGAACCAAAGAAGACATATATATAAGTTGGTGGGGTTTTTGTTGTTGTTGTTTTTAGTTTCTGTCATTTAGAGCAGAGTTTACATTTTATGTACTATGGGAAATCATTGGCAAGTTCAAAGCAGGGCAACGACATAATTTGATCTATGTTTTAAAAGGGTCTTCTAGTTAGAGACTTGCAGTACAGATGCAGAAATTAAAAGCTAGGAATTCAAGAACTAGACAGACTTGAGTGTGGTCACACACCACTAACTAGCTATGTGACCATTACAAAATAATTTCATTACTTCAAGTCTCAGTTTCTATTACCTATCAAATGAGGAGACTAACAGTTCCAATCTTATAGTATTAAATTAAATGACATAATGCATGTGAAACACTTAGTGTGTTGCCAGCCTCTTAGTGAGTGCTCAACAATGCTGAGTATGAATGGACATTCCATAAACTAGGCTGAAAGTGCATACTTGGGAATAATGAGCAACGGTACAACTATTGGAGCCAAGGAAGGAATGAGAACACAAGGAGAGTAGGAAGATGATCCACAAGTGTGTGGTTAAAAGGAAGACTGCCTATAAGTAAATGGAGTTGATATGTTTATCATGCTCAATGAAGAATTAATCTTGAATATAATTTTTAAATGTAAAATACTTTAAGAAAACAGCTCCCATTGAATATGCAGAAGCAACCAAGTGAAGTGTCAGTCATAAATTATTTTGAATACAAATATATTTCAAGCTACTCTTTCTTCTGCACTTGTAGAAAAAGGAAATAAAGCAACCAGCATGTAGAGTCAGTCTTTGTGTATTTTAAATAAATATTCCTGTGATCTTGAAACAAGTGTGAGATTTGAAGTGAGAAAGTAACATTCTTGTGTTACATAGTTACATATGGCAATATAAGTATAGAGATGTGGAGGTTTTGGTGTACCAGTTTTTAACTAGATATTCTCAAGCTGAATGAACACTCGATATAGTTTACATAAAGTATCATAGGATCCCATACACATAATTTAGATAATGAGAATCAGTCCGCAGTTTTTAAAAACACACACAAAAACCATTCTACCTAACAATGCTTCTGAAATGCTAATGGCATTACAATCTGGACTCTTAATGGAGACTTAGCAAAAAAACCATCCTTTCTGCAATGTTTTCCACAATCAGTGATTTGTCTTGCATAGTCTTATTGTTAAAAGTAAGTAATTGGACTCAGTAATGCCTTGAAATCTTTATCACCAGAATATTGATTTAGGAGTCATTAATACATAGCTCTGTGCTGACTACTAATATATAAAATTAAATAGTGTTCACAATGACCACTCTAAATGAAAACAAACTCCCCAGAATCCACCACCTCCCTTTTGCAAAGAACACACTGGTGACAAACATAACACCTATGCAAGTTTACTTCATTAATGCACTGACAAGTTTTCTATGACATTAAGCACATACAGGCCAATATAAATAATTTTCAAAGCAAGACGACAAGGTAGTCACTGTAAGCTGATTTTGAAAGTTCTGTCCTTACAAAAGAGCCTAAAAGCCCTCTTTAATACAAGACTGCCTCTTATTTTACAACTACTCATCTCCTCATCTTCATTTTATAGACAAATGCCTCCCGAGGTCCATTTATATGACTAGCTCACATGGACTATGGCTTTTTCTGGTCCTCTAAGGATCCGACTTTTCTCTTTCACTCACGTCCTTACCTGATTACCCAGCACGGCGGTGGCGCAAGCCGTGGACACCTCTTTGGGCCCAAACCAAACTGAGGCAATGTGGGAGGGCAAGCCCAGGATGAACACCTGGGCCACGGAGCATAGGCACTGGCCCAACATGGTGACCCAGAAGAGATGCTGCTGCACACTGCCGCACTTGACCCAGGCACCTAGGCAGTTGAGGCCAGAGCCCAGCAGGGCGGTGAGTCGCAGGCCTTTGGTGTCCAACAGCCAGGTGGCTGGGAATATGAGAGGCACGTAGGCCAGCATGTAAACCATGGACAGCCAGTCAATGTGCAGCAAAGAGACGCTGTAGAAGCCCTGGAACACATTGCTGATGATGCTGTACTGGATCCACTGAAAGGCGTTCACCAGCGAGTACAGGCTGAAGATCAGCAGCACCACAAAGCGCCGCGTGGAAAGCGCGGTCCGGGGCAGCGGTGTCCCTTCGGCACCCGGGGTCTCCTCTCCCGCGTCCGTGGGTAGCAGCCGGGCCTGGGTCTCCTCTTCCGGCGCCAGCAGAATCTGCGGCCCGCCAAGCGCTCCGGAGAGGTCAGCGGCGTTGTCTCTGGGGACCCCATTCAGGAGCAGGGAGCCAGCTCTGGGCCCGTTCTGCTGCTCTGCGCTCACCTTCCCGGCCGCAGCGTCCCTCGGGACCGGAAGGTATCCTTTCGCAAGAGGGTGCCCGGGAGCCACCGTCGCCCCCTCCTCAGCGTCTGGCCGCGCCATGTCACTGTGCTCCCCGCTGCTGCTTTGCGCCCCAGCCCACCTCCCTACCTCTGTACCCTGGTCCCTCCCGGCACCCCAGCCCCACCACCCCCTGGGTCCCCCACTCCGGCTACCCTTCCCGGGTGGTGCGCACACTAGCCCTGCCTGAGAGCGCAGGTGAACGCGTCCTCCCCACTCCTCGGGGCCGCCAGTCACTCCATGTCAGGCCCCGCCCCGAGAGCGCCGCGTCCCAAGTGGTAGCGGCTCGCCGGCCAATCAGAGGGCATCTTCTCCCGGCGCGAGAGCCAATAGGGAATCTGCCGGGAAGGGCGGGGCGGGCTGCAAACGTACCCGGAGGCTAGAGAGGAAGACCCTGCTGAGAGTGTTCTCCTTCCAGGAAGGATGGGGAGGGTGCCGGGGGTCCTCTGGCTCTTGGGGCTGGGCAGGCGGGAGGTGGCCCGCGGATTGGGCAGCTCCGGACCCGGAACGAGAGGGCGGTCGAAGCAGGGAAACGACCCAGGGACAGGTACCGTGTTCGCCACCAAGAGGGGCTTCCTGAGGTCGGAGTTCTGCTGTGGCCTCTCGCCCCCACACCCAAGCTCTAGACCACGATCTGTAGGTTCGTTCTATTTCGGCAGAAGAAAAAGGCCAGAAAGCGTTCCAGTCCGATTAGAGAAAAAGATTTCAAGAGATTTCGTCAGAAATTTGTCCTTGCGAAGTTGGAATTCCCCCACCTCCGCCACGCTGGTTTGCATTAGGCGACTGAGACGTGTTGTGCAGAAGGGAGACCCTGTTGCTCATTCGTTCTCTAGGACCCAAATCTGTGGTTAATAGTAAGTGGACTTGCACCTTCAGTGGGTTCCGTCGGTGCCAGGTACCAAACTTGTTTTGAACGATGTGTGCCAGTTACAGGCTGTGGGGAGTGAAATCATTAAAATGAGACATAGTTCATTTACTCCTAAGTAAAAAGGACCTTGGGGGCTTCCTGTTGTGGAGAAAAAGTGAATCCTACCACTCCTTGGAAAACTACATTTGAAAAAAAAAAAATGATACCCTAAGTATTTACTATTAAAATGGAATTAAAACTAGGTATATCTAGGATCCTTTTAAACATATTTATTTGTTGTAGATGGACACAATACCTTTATTTTACTTACTTGTTTATATATGGTGCTGAGGATCGAACCCAGTGCCTCACGCGTACTATGCAAGCACTCTACCACTGAGCTACAACCCCAGCCCTAGGATCCTTTTATAGACTTAAAAAGTGTCCATATCTAGCACCCTAAAACCTGTACACGTTTTTATTGTCTCTTACATTATTATTTTGGGCATCTATAAAAGTGTATCAGGCAGCCCTAAGTGTTACTGCTGTTTACCAGTGAGGAGTCCTTGCTTCTGGGAATGCTGAAGTATATAAACACCAGAGAAGCACACCAAGGCGAGTGGAAAGTGGAAGGCTTTATTAAAGGACAGCAGAAAAGACTTCTCCCTGGAGGAAGAAGGGGGCCAGAAGGCGGAATCCATGGAAGAGGGAGGTCTTCCCTCTTTTATAGCTAAAATCTTTTAGTCTTCCCACACTCCTGTCCTTTGTTTCCCTTAATCCTGCAGTGATAGAATGCAGGTGGAAAGGCCAACTGGTGGGAGATGGGTGGGCTGAAGGAGTAATCTGGGCAGTAAGGGCCTGGGGCGGTTTTGGATTAGCACCTCTCTGTATGCTGGGAGCTGTTTCATTAACAGTTCCTTAGGATGGGTTCCTGGCCTTGAGGACATCAACATTTCAATTTCCCCAAGAGCTGCTCTGGTTTCCTGGACTCTATTCTCAATAATGGCCTCCATTTTTCTTTATCTTACTCGATATTAGACCTGATTTACCAAAGTACACTAACTACCTATCCTAAAATCTGGCTCCATAAGTAGTGCATTAGAATGTCTTCATTGGCTGCCCAATTTAATTACTACCTGCCTTCCGCCACCCATGCTTTTACCCTGCTTTATTTTTCTTCTTAGCACTTACTAGCATCTAAAATGTCCTATATTTTACTTATATTTTTTTCTGATTATTTTCTCCCTCCCCACTAGAATGTGAGCTTCATAAAGGCAGGACTGAAAATTTGTTACTTTTCGCTGCTACTGTTTTCTGAGAATGTATGTCAGAATCTAGCACAAAGTGCATGTTCATTATTTGCTGAATCAAACACTTGGAATGGAACCACCATTTGACCCAGTTATCCCACTCCTCAATATATACCCAAAGGATTTTAAATCGACATACTATAATGACGCCGCCACATCAATTTTTATAGCAGCTCAGTTCACAATAGCTAAGCTATGGAACCAACCTAGGCACTCTTCAACAGATGAATGGATAAAGAAAACGTGGCATATATACACTATGGAGTATTAAACTCAGCCCTAAAGAAGAATAACTTTATGATATTTGTAAAAATATGGATGGAGGATCTGGAGACTGTCCCAAAAAACCAAAGATCAAATGTTTTCTCCCATGTGTGGAAGCTAACCCACAATATGGGGGTACAGGGCGGAGAATAGAAGTACAATAGATTGATAATGGGAAATGGAAGGGAAGGAGGGGGATAGGAAAAGGAAAGATGGTGGAATAAATATGATATAATTTCCCCATGTACATTTTTGAAAACAACACAGTGAATTCCACCATCATGTATATCCATAAGAATGAAGGCCTACGCTGGGCAGGTGGCTTTCTCCTGGAGGTTGAGACAGAAGGATCTGGAGTTCAAAGCCAGCCTCAGCAATGACGAGGTGCTAAGCAACTAAGTGAGACCCTGTCTCTAAATAAAATACAAAATAGGGCTGGGGATGTGGCTCAGTGGTCAAATGACGCTGAGTTCAATCCCCAGTACCCCAGCAAATGAGATCCCAACTAGAATAAAATATATTCCATGCTTCTATAATTGTATCAAAGTAGATTCTGCTGTTGTATATAACTAAAAAGCAATAAATAATTAATTAATTAAAAATAAAAATAAAGATTTACTGAATCAATGCAGTTAGCACAGAATTTACTGTTGAATATTTTTAAAAATTGCTTGCTTAGTAAATGAATTAATATGTATATATTAAAAATCTTATAACTCCACCCCCAGCATAATTTCCTGAGCATCTATTTGGAGATTATTTTAGATTACTGAGCAATGTTCACTTAATGAATAAAAGAAAATAGCTATAACATCAGATCCAATGAATTTAAGCGTCAGTTTGAAACTTTATTTTATGGATTTTGAAAGACAATAATTACTGTGCTTAATATTCAGCACAAATTATCACAGACATCTTATTAATACTTTTATGTACCATGAAACTTTCTATGCAGCTTTTAAAAAAGCTGTGTAAGCCGGGGACAGTGGTACCTGCCTGTTACTGAGCCAGCTGTTCAGAAGCTAAAGCAGGAGGATTGCTTAGGACTAGAGGTTTAAAGAAAGCCTGGGTAACATAGGGAGACCCTGTGTTCAAACAAACAAACAAACAAACAAAAAATCTGTTAAGAAAGGGAATACAGCAGCTTAAATTATTTTAAGAATATGGACACAATACCTTTATTTTATTTATTTATTCATTTTTTATGTGATGCTGAAGATTGAACCCAATGCCTCACACATGCTAGGTAAGCACTCTACCCTGAGCTACAATCCCAGCCCAGCAGCTTGAATTTTAATGGACCGTTTTGTTTAAACAATCATAGTAAACATTCAGGTATTTGCAAAATTCTCACCCCCTTCTTGAAACCCAAACAGGCAAATTATATTCAATTTCATTTCCCTATTATCAGTGAGAGCTGGAGATCATCTCTTGCCAGATTCGTAGATAACTTCTCTCTGCATGGGGTAGCTTCCGGAATGTACTCCTATGCGGAAGGTTTTTAAAGATCATTTGTCTTCTCTACATTTGGGTTGAGAGTTCCCTGGGTGTCCTGCACAGCCAGTCAGCAGCTAATTTTCCTCCATGTTTTACTTGCTGGAACCTATTCTTGCCCACCTTACCATTTCCCTTCCCTGCATATGACAAAGCTTTGTATCTGATGCTATTACCATCTATCTGGAGTCTACTATATAGGGAATCTATAGTAATGGGGAAAGGCATCAGATCTAGAGACCAACTACTTAGGACTGAATCCCAACTTTAATACTCATTAGCTGTATGACCTTGGGCAAGTTACTTAGCTGTTTGTAATAGAGTAACAGAATCCTGCTTTGTAGGATTGCTATGAGGATTAAAAGATTGAACAATGACAGGCATTCTCTTATAGTCAGTAAGTTGATCTATTGTAATGGCTAAATATCCAACTCTGAAGCCAAATGGCCTTGGTTCAGATTCAAGCTCTTTCACTTTTTAGCTGCATGACCTTTGACTAGCTACTGTGTGTGCGGGAGCACATGGGCGGGCGCACTCACACACTGTAAAATGAAGGCAATGTTCTTCATGAGATCTTTGTAAGAAATTAATGGCTAATAAATGTAAAGCACTTAAACAGGGCCTGATTTCTTATCTATGCTAATATTCAGTAAATCACTCATTACTTATCATCATTATCAACTCATCTAACTCATATCTTTGTGTTTCTCATAGTCATATCTCATTCTCATTGTATTGACTCAGGTTCAATTTCCTGTCTTATATATGTAAACCTGCTTGGATTCTTCTACAGTTGTTTATTCCTGGAGGGTGCTCTCCGGATGCACCTAAAGGGTCACACACAGTGGCTTGATCCTAATGATCCTAATGATCCTTGGTCTAATAAGAGGCAATTTCCTTATCATCACAGATGGTCAACAATTGGACTATCTTGTGACATATCATCTGGACATATCTAGACGATCCTATGCCATCCCCAACAAACACTGCAACCAACTAGTCAGAACAAGTATGTTGTGAATAGGATTTCTAAATTTCATGGAAAATTGAGCTATGAGAGATTTAAGATTTCTTCTGACTTTGTTGCAAGAATTTATGAAAAGTGAAAAAGATATTTCTAATGGAAGAATTAGAAAAAATTCATAAAGTTCAACAAATTCCATAGAGTTAAAAATGGAGTCCAGAAAAGGGGAAAACTCAGCAGTATTTCTTGAAAGGTCATTCTAAATCCTTAAACTGTCTCCTTTCTCTTATGGTATCAGTGGTAGATATTTATTAACCAATTTAGGCATGAATCACACTTCATATTATGTGTTTACATGTATAACATAAAATG